AAAGAAAATCCAAACTTTTTACAGTTTTCGCCGCAAGCTTTTTGTATTTAAAGCAAATGTGGGGAAAAACTATTTTTAAATTTTGTGTGAAAAATGCAAATTATGTTTATTTTTTTGGTACTTGTTTTTGCGAATTAATTTTTTTCTTATAATTTTAATAGCTACAATAATTAACTGTTTTTACTTTTTGTATAAGTGCATTTGCGTGTAATTAATTGGCTAATAGTTGATATATAGTTTTATTTATACTTTAATGCTTTTATTTATTTATTCATAATTTCCTTTATTTTTTTTATTTTTGCGCTTTTAAAAATGTTGTACTCTACAAATAGTACTTAAGTCAATGCGCTTCTTTCAAATAACATTTCAATTCTAAATCAGTTATTAATATGCGAGTTTTTATGCGAATTAATGTAAATATACAGTGGTGGCCAAAAAATTAGCACAATTTTTTTCTTTCTTAAATCACTTCTCTCGTATTGTAGTTAGAATTAAATGAGTTGCATCATAAATTTTTTTAAATTTTTTACTCACTGAAGAAAATCTTTGTTCTTCGGAAGCTTCATATGTCTGAACATATTTCAAAATCCAAAGCTTCTTATAAAGCTCCCATTAGGCTCGCGAGATTTTTAATAATGCTTTTTCTATATAAAGTATTTTTCACACATACATATGTACATATGTATTTACATGCCAAGATTCCTGGCATCGGAGAGAAAAAATAAAAACGCCACTTTAAATAAAAAAACCCATTAAATTATTATTAATTTTATGATAGGAGAGATAGAAGCAATTTTTCGATTTAAGTTGTTGAAAAGTAATGAATATCTAAATCCCGGGATCGTAAAAAACGGAAAAATTAACATCCCTATTACATATGTATGTACATAAGGGTGCATCACCATAAAATGTAGGTTTTCCTACCGGAATCATAACCTTTATTAAATTTTAAGACTTCCGACAAAATAATTCGGAAAAATATTAAAATTTATGTGAGCTGGATCTCCAAAAATCTCTTTATTTCGATACCGTTGATGTAATTTAAAAAAATGGTATGCTATGTTCTGAGGTAATTTTTTAGAAAAAATATTAAAAAAATAATAAATTTGTTTGTGCTACTTTTTTGCCCATCACTGTACTAAAGTACAAATTTTTATACATTTTTGTTATTTTGCGCTACTCAACAAACATTGTCCTTTATTGAAACTACAAATACAATATTTTTGTCAATATCAATATTGGTAAAATATTTATTTTATTTTTGTTAAAATGATTTTCATATTTTAGTCAGCTACTCAATGTTACTCGTAGATAATGCATAATATCGTGCTGCTGAGGCACTATAATTTTTTTCTTTTTTTTGTGATTAAAATATATTATTTTTTATGTGAATGTACACACCCTGCAGAAAAATATTATCAATTGATAAAAAATAACCAATAGCTCACTTTTAATTAGCTATGACAAAACTAGTTTTAAGTGAGTTGTAAAGTCATACAGACGTTATCGGGAGTTTGTTTTCTTTAAACAAGTTCCTGTTTAAATATCCTCAAACAAACTTTACTTTGAATATAATTTTTTTTCTGCACTTCCCATACTTTTTCGAATGCAGTAGAAATAAATTTTTCGAATTCAGCACAAATAAATTTTTCGAATTCAGCACAAATAAATTTTTTCGAATACAGTACAAATAAAATTTTATATTATCATTTTGAAGATATGTCAGACGGAACTCGAATATGGGACCGCCTACAGCAGAATATGTAAACAAATATGTGATGTTAAATAAAGTAAATAAATAAACAAGTAAAAAGTTTAAAAATATATATATTTTTCTTATTGATATTTTATGTCCAAAAGTAGTTAGTTATAAGTTAGTTAACACCTAATGCAGAGGTAACCACCCTTGACGATTTCGCGGCCATCGCCATACAAATATGTATATGTACTAGTCAACTTGAAGTTAACTTATAGTTAGATACATTTCCTGCAGGGTATGTACAGTACATAAATATGCATGTGCTTATGTAAGTATGGATGTGTGTTTTTGTATGATATTTTTTGTAAGAGATTCTTCGTGCAATTGGCGAAGCGATGTCAAGGATGCCAACAAAAAAATTATTGTGCTTTAAACATATCTTCCAACTAACTCTTATTCCACAAATGTATGTTAGTTTTCGATTTTCATATTATTTTTCTTAATCTCTGTTCATTACATTTTTTATATGCAGTGTTTTTTATGATTTTTTCTCTTTCCCTTTTTTACATTCTTTTTTTATTAAATTTTAAACGCATGTTATCTCTACTAAAACACGTTAGGGTAATAAATCTAAACGCTTAAATGCCTCGTAACCAGGTAAACCTCGTAAACTTATTTAATTTTGTATGGAAAATCGGTTTATTTACGAGACATTTACGCGTTTCCATGTTTACCCATATTGTTTTGAAAATCTGTCACTTACCTACTTTATTTTAGGATTTACTACATTGTATAAATATATGTATTTATGTATGTATTGTAGGTATAGTACATAAAAAACTAATAATTAGGAAGTGGTATTTCAGCTGTTAAGTGAACGAGCCAAAAATTTATGGCACAAAATTGTGCATATAATCGTGGAAGCGTCACACACTGGGTTTGCAAATTATAAATCGTATTTTTAATAGTTTTTTACCAATTTGATCAATTTTTCAGTGAAATTTAAAAATTTCTTGGAAACAATTTTCATAGCAATCGGATTTGCTTCGGGTCTTGTTAGATAGAAAAAATATGGTTTTTTTTTCGATAAAAACATTCTTTTACAATATGTACATATTTCGTTGTTACTGCAATTATAAAACTGAAACATGCTAGAATATATTAAACAAATTTTTGTTTGATTAAAAATATTCTGTTTAAAATACATACATGGTAGAAAAATTAAAAATCCTTGAATTTGTTGTTTAAAAAATTACTTGCAAATATGGGCTAGGCCAAAAAAATTTTGGCAAGGCCTTTTTTTTTAAAAAAAAGTTTACTTATAAAATAAAAGCCCCGAATTACAAAAAGATAGAAATTTCACAAAAAAAAGTTGTTTGAAAAATTTCTAAAAAAAAAAAAAAAATTTTTAATTTTACAGGAAAAATTATTTTCTTTAAAATAGCTTTCAGAAAAGTTAAAAACGATATAACCAAAAAAATATTATATTGCAATTATACAGCTACTACAGGGAGGGCCAAATAAGATCTCCAACTTTTTGCGGCCAACGGCATAGCATGTTTGTTTTCTTTATAATTTTTGGGAATATTTATTCGCGTGAAATTCGCGACAGGACCGATTATTTCATAGTAGCAATTGATTAAAAAGAATACGCTGCATAACATAAGTAAAAATTAGTTTTCTGATGCGTCGAATATAAATGCACAAATGCAATGAAATGCCTTGATTGGCGCTGTAACCGCCTAGGCGATTTTAGCCGAGTCCAACAAAGCATGCCAGTCGCTTTTCTTCTGTGCCAACTGACCCCAATTGGAAATGCCAAGTGAAGCCAGTTCCTTCGCCACCTGGTCTTTCCCTTTCCTCCGTTTACCGCAACGTGGCCGGCGTTGTATTTGTGATAGTTATCTTTATAGTTTCAGCCCACCAATGGATTTTTATGAAGCTTCATCTAACCTATGTAAGGATCCCGCTTAACCGAAGTAAGTTATGTGTGGAGGTCGCAATGGCAAATTTGGTTCCGAACTTTACGCCTTTTCTCCGTTACACCTGAGGATTGAATCGCTTAAATTTTCATCTGTGGAAAATAAAATCGTTCTGCATCTCGCTAGGACTCAGCCTAATAAAATCTGTTGCCAAATCGAGTTACAAGTAAAAAAAAAAATCAAAAATATACCCGTACGAGGGCATGTTGGTTTGAGGAATGTTGCTGAAGTAGCAGTCTTTGTTCCAACATATACAAGTCTGATTCGTTCCGGTTACGTAGACCCATCTGTCGTAGGTACGTAAGTCGACATGTCGTATACGTATGTTACATACTTTTAAGTCGACCCTTAATTCAACAAAATTTAACAATAAGTTTTTACGGGGCGAAGTCTAAATAAATAACGTCTTTAAAGAAGTAGTGGGTTCATTAGGAAAGAAATAACGTAACCAAATAAATTCACTTGAGGCCAATTACAAGGTACATATCGCACACCGTCTTCAAAAGTGACACAGCTCAAAATTTAACATTTCCGAAATTCTGCGCTAAAAATCTACAGAGCTTTTATTTACCTTTCAGCAAAAGCTGGAGAAAATTTCTGTTATAATTAAAAAAAAAAAAAACCTATGGTAAAGTCGCCCTTGCCCATATGATTAGCATGTGCTACGAAATAGTTTTTCGCACTTTCTGACGAACGTATTATTTTGAGTTGTGACCCTTTTGAAAACGGTGTGCGATATGTATGTATGTCTCATCAAAAAGCATATTTAGCTCATTTATGTACGTAACCTTTTTTAAATAACATACTTTTGAGATAATTACATGCGCATCAAGCAACAAATTCTATTACTTAGTACAAAAGTATACACATTTTAAAAGTTATAGGTATATTTTATAAGAGTTCGTGCACTTTTGGAGATTTTTATTTTGTGTTTTTTTTTTCGTGTTCGACACGTACAAAAAAACGGGTTTAGCACCCAACAGAATAATACATAAATAAAATTATTTACAGAAATATTAAATAATAAATACAAAAACGTTAGTATTTTTATATTAACATGCACAGGTGTGTACTTAAACTTATTAAATATAATAAATAGCAAAATTGTGTAGAGGACAATAAATATGTATTTACATATACATTTTATTATATTCAAGTATGTATATAAAATAGAAAACACTTATAAACATATTTGGCTTTAGTTTACATAATATTAACGGACGATAAATGAACAATGCTGAGGGTTAATCGAATCGCTGGCGCCTGGCACAGCACAAATGAGACGCGCGGCAAAAAAAATACCCGAACGGAGCAAATTTTAAAAGTTCCTGAAAAAATTTGTAACATAATTTTGTGTTACACAAAGGCATAAACTTTACTTAAACTATTTCGCTATTGCTATTTTGTGTTTTCTTAAAATCCTTAATCACACTTAATTTTTTGCAACCGAAATTTAATAAATTATAAGCTACTCGCTTCATACTTTCGCTGAACGTCTCAAAAATCACAAATTTTACACAAATTGGCAATAATGACCGCACTATAACGACATAAAAACCTATTTATCACTTATTTGAGAAGCTGTAACAGCCAACAAATTTCTAAAAACATCACACATTTCCTTAATATAAAGTTAACCTCATATCAATTTTGTTCAATTATCGTCCTCTTTTTGTGTTAATATCTATGCGTTCACATAATGTTTATAAATTGTTATGCAATACAGAGTTTTATACTGCAAAGGAACGTTTTGCAATTTCCAAAATTTATTTCCAACAAATTGCGCCACGCCTATGTAATTGTGTACCCAGACCTCTTTATACTTTAATTACACCACCCAAAAAAGACGACAATACAATGGCACAGCAATTTACTTAACATCCGCATTGCCAGGTGTAGCAGAGAGCGCCATTTTAGACAGTGTGGCCAAGGAACGTTTAGAAGTATCCGAAGTGTCGGAAAACAGGCGGCGGAAGCTAGAAAGAAAATTGAGATTTAGAAAGAATATTGCTTAAAGTAGAATTTTCAATATATCAATGGCATTTTATTAAAATAACTTATCTCGGGATATGACATTTTTTCCTTTAAAGTAATATTTCAAGGGTTTCCTAAACATTTCTTTAACTATTAGCTAGCTGTAGGTTTATTTTAGAATATCCCTTTTAATAGAAGCTTATTAAAATATAAAATTTTTAAAGGAAACCTTATTATTTCTTTTTAATTCAAAGTAAAACCTACTAAAGTTATTTAAGTTGTTTTAATTAAATTGGAACATTTTCGTTAACAAACAGCTCGATACTCGAAAGGCGTTCAGTCGAACCGCTGTTGTTGTTGTTGTTGTAGCGGCTACAGTCGAACCGCTAAATTTTTTTAGTCTACGAGTGCCTAAAAAACTCTTCAATTAGCGATGAACAATGTTTATGCATTTGACTACTGACCATATTTTACTTTTCAATCATTAAACCCAAACAAAATCACTTAATGCAATGTATACTCACAATTTGCGTATACCCGATTCACTGCTCTTCTTCCAAGGAGCATCGTCTGGCTCGTAGGGTAAAGGTCCTTGTACGGGTGCATCATGGTCAGGTGGCCTGGGAAAGGTAAATGACATAAGGTTAAACGTGAAGTGGCTGAGTACAAAAGCAATGTAATGCCAATAAAAACATTAAAAATTAAAAATTCAGAGCAGAGGTTAGAAGCCCAACACTAAAGAAATGAAAATAATACAAATGCAAATAAAAAATTTATAAAGCAAACAACTTTTGAATGTATACAACAATAGTGCCGCACCAAGTCGAAAGCGACACTTGCCGCCACTCAAGCATAGCCGCCTCCACCCGAACAGCATAAAAAAAATAACTACCCCAACATGCTTTATAATCCACATCTACACACACACGCAAACTATTATTTGTTGCTTTTTACTCACGTGCCGCACACCGCTTCATGCGCTTCTTGTGATTCCTCATCCACCTCATCATCTTCGTCATCATAATCATACGAACTAGAATCACCTCCACCACCAGCGCCACCCGCTGCTGCCAGTTTCGCATTACTAGGCTTGAGTGCCTTCAATTCTTCGGTCAAATTGTCAACAGTAGTGATTAATTCGTCACGTTCGCAAATTAACTCCTTCAACTGTAACGTGGTGTAGCGCGGACGATTCGGATCATTCGGGTCGTCGCTGCACGACTTCACCAAATCCTCATTCTCTTTCTCTGCCAACCCAAGTTGCTTGCGTAATTGATTAATGTCACGGTATTGGTCTTGTAGTTGAGCAAGGAAATCAGCGCGCTCTTCGCACAGCGTCTTCACTTGGGCTTGTAGCATTTTGCGCCGGCGATGAGCATCGCGGGCGGACGACTTCAACCGGTCCACTTGTATATGCAGCTAAAGGGGAGAGCAATGGATGAGAAATAAAATGAAAAGAATATTTGTATATATACATACAACATATAATAACTTGCGAAGGATCGTAAAAAAAAGACACACAAAATACTAGGAAAAGCAAACAAGTATAAAAATAAATGCTAACACAAATAAATACAATAAAAACTCGCTGTTATGGCATGGCAAAAGTTTTAAAGCCGGGGTTCAGCGTTGTTGCTGTACAGGCAGCTGCAGATAATTGCCAACCAGTTGATTAAATTAGCCGAAGTTAACGAGCGTTAAATACACTTTATGATGACCTGAATAATGGAAAAAATCGCCAAGGCGCGTTGTAGCATAGCAGCGTAGGGTAATTAATTTTTCGCAAACTTTACAGAATGCAGAAAGGAAGGAAGTTGCGAAGGAGTTGTTGTGTGGGTAGAACATAGAATAGGCTACAAACTTTGGTTTAAGTTTTCGTTTAAGGCAAGTAATCAATTTTGTGTTTAAGTATTTTTACTACATAGACTTTTGGCTGGAATAGTTTAGATATTCCGTGATGATAAAGCTCATGTAGTACATGTACAAAGGTGCTTTTGTAAGATAAGATGTGGCATTTTGTATGTATATACCATCCCTGTTCTTCAGCTGACTTACATTTTCTATTTCTCCGTATTTTTCCTGCAACTCATGCTCCTTCAATTTCAATTCGTCACGCTGTTTATAGATTTGATCTTTTAAACGCTGCAGCACTTGCGTATCCGTAAGCGCACTATTCAGCTCATTATTCGTAATACTAATAATACTTTCGGTCAAACTAGCACCCAAGCCGGAAGATTGTGCTGAAGAGGACTGCAGATCTTGGGTCTGCTTAACAAGTCGCTTATTCTCATCCTGCAAGGACTGCACCATTTCTACCAGTTCATTGGTTTCGGTACGCCATTGCTCCTCCAGCACTTCCATTTCCTGTAAATAGAATTTATGTTATAAGTTATTATTATTGACTAAATTGTGTTTTCTGTGCCAAAACTTACTGTCTCGAATCGCCTGCGGTACTCAGCTCTCTCGGATTTTTCACTCTCCAGTTGTGCAATCTTATCGCGCAATTCCTGTATAGTCGCATTTTCCCGCTCATTCTTCGTTGCCAATGCCTCAAGCAGCTCCAGTGTATTTATAATCTTTGGCATTAGTCCCGTAACTGCATCAGTACCATAACGATCAATAATTCGTTCATATTCCTTGCCAATGTCCGATGCTAAATCGTAGACATCAACAACGGCGATGTCATCGATGGCATCCAGCACCATTTCACCCATTTCATTGATGTGAAAACCGGGCATGTAGAGTCGAAACCTAGCAACAATGTTTCCTACACTCGATTTACTTGATTGTTACTAAATGAAAAACTAAAACAGGAATGCAATTGTTTCTAGTTGTTCTTAAGCTGCTAGACGTTCGCTCCTCCTACAGCACTAGTCTCCTTTTCACGCTGCCTTTTTGGACAAATATGCGAGTGAAGTTTAAATAGCTATTAAGAGTTTTATTGCGCCTCTATTACTCGACAGCTGCAGTTTCCTCCTGCCAACGCTACTTTAGATGCACCACTGCCCACACACGGAGCGATTTGGTGTCGTCACTTCTATAATTAATGAGTGGAGTATCTATACACAAACACCTTTTTATTAATACTCGTATTAATATTTGATTTTCACACCCTAAACTTTTAAATATTTTATGTAAACAATTGCACTGAAAATAAGTATATCCTTGCAGGTTTGGTCCTTGCGCCAGCTGGAAAATATTGGATTACTCCTTTTTGAGACCGTTTCGCAAATTCTCCGTGAGTAATCGATGTAGAGATGCCAACTCTAGCAGGTATTTGAACTTTTGGTGGAATGGAGAAATTACATCAAATTTTGAGAGATGTCAGCAAAATATTTGGATTTCGGAGGAATCGGCCTTAATGTATAATTGAATGTGTAACGTCCCGGTTAGTGGTACTTAACAGGAGTGTTACATTTTTTGTTACTGCGAGAGAAAACCAAGCAAAAACCTTCGGCTTATCAAACTATCCTGGTATTTAAAGAAAATGAGAAATTCTTGTTGGATTTCGGAGGAATCGTCCTTAATGTCTTGGCATCCCGGAGTATCATCGAGCCACAGATGACAGTGCACAGAGTTGCATGTATTAGTAGTAGGGCCAATATTTTATATATGTTGACTTTTACTTAATTTTTTAATTTAACGCTTGGGATTTCATATAAATAAACATGTGCATAAAAACAATTAACCTACGATCGGAATTATATGTAATTCTTAGTACATGTTCTCTGATTTATCATATTTTAATTTCTCTTTTTCTCATCCCTTAGACCCCTTTCAGGCACGTCAAGTCTTGATTTCAAGTCTGCTCGTGCGTTGGCGAAGGAGGAGGGACGAATGTACTTTTCCCCTCTCTGCACACCTCCTTCGCCCACGAACCGAACAGACTTGAAAGCAAGACTTGACGTGTCTGAAAGGGGTCTTAGGTTCGGCCCTATTTACCTAAACGGCAACACTTGCTGTTCCATTTCAAATCCCGTTTCGTTTGCGGCTGCAGTTTTTTAGTTTGTTTTTTTACTTTGATTTTCCTGTTTAGTCGAGTGAAAAATTTAGCAACTGCGGTTAAAATTACAAATTTTAACTAGGTATCTTGTTATTATTATAAACAATTTGTGCTTTTCACTACAAATTAAGGTAAATGTACATTTATCTGTACGTTTTAAAAACTTTAAGGCGTGGCAGAGCAAGTAACAGGAAATTGCTCCAATCGGCAGTGCAACGTGATCCCTTTGTTTTCTGTCTTGACATTTGCGGAATTTCGGAAGACAAAGCAAGTTTTCTGATTACATGCAACTTGATAGAGACGCGGCAATAATTTTTGTAATATTTTGCATTAAACCCTGCAAACCGCGTTTAAACTACTGGAAACTGTGCTTAATAACGTGGACGTGTATTGGTTGTGCATATTAAACAAGTGAAAATGTTCAATAAGAATTTATCGGCTAATTCGGCCATAATGGAGGCATTGGAGTCATTGCCTGGAATCGGGGTAGGTAGAATAATATATTTTATACTATAACTTTACAGCCTATTTGAACAATATACGAACTTATTATTATGGGCAATAGAGGATCACTTTAATTAGTAATCCAGAGTAGCCAGAGATATGAGAAATCTGCGAAATAATGGCCATGTGAAGCGAATTGCGTATCAGAAAAGTACCATTTTCAAGTGCTTGTAAAAATTTGATATTAGTTTTTAATCGTTTAACTCAAATATATACATATATAACAAGGGATTTTCGATAAGTCAGCCATGCTCAGATCATAACTCAGCGACGTCCATAGTTGCACAAACCAACAAAATACGAGACGACGTGCACGGATGCTGAAAAGAGGTGTGTCAAACTGGTTAATGCGCTTTCAACATAAGTTCTGTCCATTTGTATTGATAGCGTGGTTCTGCCTCCATAAATTTGTAATATTCTCACTTTGTTTAGGGGCTTTGTTGACATTAGCTGATTGTAAATATGCAATTCCATGCTCTTGATAACCTTTTAACTTACATACATTATCATGTATATGCATGTATGCATTCAAATGCATTTGATTACTTCAAAATTTTATAGACAAACTGGAAACAAGCAAGTCCATCGCGCGTTTTGTATTTGCTACAGCAGCACAGCTGGTATATTTGAGTTGTAAGATAATCCTCTGGTATATAGGATTTCCATGGGAGTAATAGTACTATTCATGTGCACTATTGTACTTTAGTTAGACCGATTTTTGTTTATTTTGTACATCGCAAATACACATGTATACAATAGCTTTCATTATCAACTTGCATGCGTCACCGTTGACCATTGACATAAATGTATTTTAAATTGTTCGATCCTAATATACGCAGTTTAAGTTTTTATTAAGTTAAAATGTGTTTGCTTAGCCACATACCGATGGTCATCTGCAATAACGACACAACTCAACACTAAAAAAAACCTTAATACTAAACTGGCACATGTCTCTTATCAAAAGATTTAGTAAGGATTAGACATTGTTCAGTACATAGTAAGTTTTTTTAGTGTTGCGTTGTGTCGTTATACACAAATTGATATTTCTGAAACTGAATATTTCTAGTCATTAGTCGAATGTACTGAAGTAAGTAAAAATGTTTAAACATTAAACATTTTACTAAAAAGTTCATTGCACCTAAGTAATGCTATGTATTTTAGTAAAAGATAACTAAAAGGGCGTGCCTCGGGCTATTACCGGTGCACCTTAATTTTTTTTGAAATGTCAGTTAGGCTACTCTGGCCCTCAAGGCCTCAATTGTCAAAGCAGAGATCTACTATCAATAGTTTTTAAATATGTTTACCAGTAAATATATGTACATACATATGTATGTACAATCGAACGTTCCGTTCATAGTTTGTGTTTGTTGTACAATTAAAGCTGATACGTATTTAAATAATATTTTGTGGCTTTGACACTGAAATCAACAGCTGATGGAAACGTGACTATTGGACAATGCTATGGTTAAAAGTTGTTTTTAATTCATTTACTAGTATGTATGTATGAAGGTTCATTTGTACATAGTACTTTTGTATGTAAAGCATTTGTGTCTTTCCGAACTATTAGCATGTTATGCGATTGGTTTTGTTTATAAACAAATACATATTCTAGCTTCCTCTTGTGCCTGTGTTATAAATATACGTTTTGCTAATCTATAAAAACTTTACAGTTAAGTTTTTTTTATATAACACATGATCAAAATATTTTTTTTACATGGAAAAAAATCCGCAACACCCTCGACAAAAAAAATTCTAAAAAATCAACGGTAATTTTTAGCGACTTGAAACTTGCACTTTATTATACTAAAATTGAATGGGCTACAAAACTGCATACCCCAAAATTTTCTAAATATTCTAATTAAAAATTTTGAAATTTTGATGACAATTTTTTGAAGTTTGATTAATTTTTTTGCAATTTGTGCAAGCTTTGCAACTTTTGTTATTGTGGTTTCTGATATAGCTTGAATTATATTTTAAATGAAAATTATTAAAAATAAATAAATAAACATAATTTGCATGCAATATCGTTTTGAATTTCGTTGCTAATTAGTTGCACGCATCTGTATACATTAGAGTGGTCCAAAAAATGTTTATCCGAGATAGGGTTTGGGGCACCTTCCAGAATTGTTTCTCTTGCCAAAAGAGGTGCTGGTACCAAACTTTACGTTTCTTAATATAAATTGAGAGGATGGTCATATCTATAGCATCCCCATTTCAAAGTGATATTGTTTGCCACGTATGTTTAATTATTTATTTTCAAGAATGTTCAATTAAAATTCAGTTCATTCTCTTACAAAACCCATATAAACCTAAGTTTGTAAGGGACTACAAAAAAAAAACGCAACAAATGTTCGTCCAAGTTTCAAACTTTTTTCAGAAGTGTTAGAATTTTTTTTAGTACACAGTTTTATAGCACATTAAATTTTATCCGATAATGTGCAAATTTCAAGTGGCTAAAAATTACCGTTGATTTTTTTGATTTTTTAGTACTGTGAGCCTGTGCTAATTGATAGACAACGCCGTGCGACAAAAACCAAAACTTTTTAAAACACGAAAAAGTCAATATATTCAAAAAAGTAGCTGCCAAATATAGTATAACTGCGTTTTTAATTTTTCTCCCTGTCGTCAGGATTTTTTTATAAAAGGCTTTGAAATTTACAGGATATTATTGAATAAAAAAATTATTTAAAAGATTTGGTGCATTTTAGAGTAACAATATAGGTATCAATGAAAAGGAAAAATTCTGTAGAATTAAAAAAAAATTTGCTAGCTCGATGCTCTTCTTCTGCTTCAAAGCAACTATCAAAAACTTCCACCAGTAAAAGTTACGAATTGGCACAGCAGAAATGTAAAATTTTCTCACCATAGTAAAAAGTTTTTCCACCATAGAACTTTTATACTGATTAGCATAGGCCCTGTGTACTTAAAAAAATTGTAACACTTCTGAGAAAAAAGTTTGAAATTTAGGTGAAAATGTGTTGCATGTTTTTGTAGTCTTACAAAGTTTTAAACTTTGGTTTATATGGATTTTGTTAGAGAATGAAATGTATTTTAATTTAAAATTCCTAAAAATAAATAAATAAACATAAGTGACAAACAATATCCATTTGAAATGGGAGTGCTATTGTATTGGCCAATACTGTACATAAATCAAAATTTCAAACTTTATACAAAATTTAAGAAAATGTAACAAATTTTCATAAAAATTTCAAGCTTCAGAATTTTTATAATAGCAATTTTTGAATAGGACGAACTCTGAAAAAAATACGACTTTACTTCGTTATCCTCATTTTTACAGCTCCTGTAGTGTGAATCGGTGCGTAATTTTGATACCTTATTCAAGAAAAAGGTGCGAAAATATGCGACAAATATTTCAAAAATGTCCTTAAAATTTGTCCTACGAAATCGCAGTTCAAACCGACATACTCTCTTCTTGATCATGGAACGGAAAAAAACAACTTTCGTCACTTCAAAAATCGTGTCAATTATTATTAAATCCGTTGTAGCCATCAAAATTATACGTTTCGCCAGAGAAAACACCATTTCTAGTTGCCCTTTCAAGCATGTGAGTTATGTTTCTGAACACAAGTGTATAGAGTAATCTGTAGTTTCCTTGTGGTGTCATCAACACCAACATTTTTCTTTCCTTTTGGTCCACTATCTCGACAATAAGATGCGGACCTCGTAAAGGACTTTTGTTATTTCCGTCTAGCTTTTGTGCTAGAGCTCCATTTCATGCTTTTTTCATGTGATGCTGTGAGCCGGCTTGCATTTCATGAGACTAATTGCGTTTTCTTTTCTACAAAAAGATTTGTCTTTTTATTACCCTATACTTAGTATTTGTGTGAAGAGCGTACAGGCAAGGCAACATTTCTCTGTAGAAAAGAAAGCGCTATAAAATGGTACAGGATAAAAAGCTTCATACCCAAAAATTTTATAAAGAGTCAGGTTAAAAAACTCGAAATTTTGATGAATATTCTGAATTTTTTAAAGTTTAAAACTTTGATTTATATGGTTTTGTTTAAAGCTTGGACAATATTTTTATAGAAAAAATTACAAATAAAGATTAGCTTGAAACATTCGATTTATTTAGTTTTAGTTAAAGCTAGTGACCAAGCTTTATAGAAAAATTTACAAAAAAATTAACTTGAAAAGCGTTGTAAATATTAAAACAAAAATCAACACGTGAACACTTGTTTGAGTCACTATATGTATGTACATATATGATGACACATTCCTTAACATTTATTCTCTTAAGCGCTCAATATGCTTACAAATAACTACATTTACAACAAAGTGATTGCCTTCATTACAGTCGTTTACATTTGCTAAAGAGATCAAACGATATCTTATCTTTGTACATATAGTATTTTATATAAAGTCAAACGAACGCGATGCACTTAGAAGCTGTTTCAATCGTTTTCTGTTTTTAATATTTCTCCAGGTGAAAAAGGCAATGAGTTTCACATATCCCCCAACAATGCGGCAACGTACAGTAACGGCTAATAGTCATGCAATGAGCCCGCAGTACTACTACTTATTTTTCTTTTACTTTACAAACATATTCTTGTTATTGTTTTTCTCGCAATTTCTTCATTATCCCCCAAAAAAAAGCTTAAGGAGGTGCTTTAGCGATTGCGGCGTATCGGATAGTCTACCCTTTCTATTGAAGTCCCTCGAAATCAAGAATTTAACTTTGTGCTTAATAAATCCCTAACTGACTCAGTAAACGACGAAAATCCTCGAAAACTATGCAGTGCTGCCAAGTTTTTCCGTTTTACAACACTATGTAGTCGAGTCGAAATTTTAGGCAATGACATGAAATTTTCGATACGATTCGACTCACGAAAAACGATTCGCATTCGACACGACTCTCGCAATAAGCCTGAATATGTTAGTGTTTGGCCGAGCTTGTATCATCAGGCTCATGCATATCTATCCCTAATCAACCGCCAAAAAAGCGTAAACGGCCGCCGCAATAAAAAAGCATTTCTGCTTCAAAAAGAAAATTTTGAAAAAATATCGGTAACGGTCACTTTGCGTTAAGACTTTGACATGGACACAGTGCCTTTTAAGCCGATAAGAACCCTTACGGCTGATTTTTAAAACCTCAAACGTTCACCAGTCCGTATCTTAGTCAAAGTCAGCTATAAAGATTTTGAGATCTCACCTTTACCTTAGATATACATATGAATATCTATATATAAACCAGCATGAATCAACTGGGAACAATTTTCTCCTATGTTTCTCAACCGATTCGAATGGTTGTTGCTTTGTTGGAAAGGTGTTTGGTAGGAGGAGTGCACAAAGTTTTAACTTTCCCGATAGGTGGCGCAGGGGTCGAGCTACGCTAAAAATTCCCATTTATGGTCTGATTTGTTTCAAAAGCGGAATATATATTCGCTATGTAAGGAGAAATATACCTGCCAAAATGGACAACATATTCCGAGTTATTTCAAATTCACGTCCATGCAATATGCTATTATATCTTTGATGCTTTCCATTTTAAGGTGCAATCCCGTATTCCTCGGACTCGGACTAGTAAAACTGTCAAAAAATAAAAATTCACTCAGAGCGAGAGAGTAACATTGAAAAGTACGGGATCGCTTTCTAGTAAAAAATGGTAACTTCTGTCAACTTCAACATAACCTCCAAATTTTGGTTGTAAATTTTTGCTTATTTTGTATGTAAACGCACTCAGCTCACACTTGTAAATAACCAAAAACACTTTCAAATTCATTAGAATCCACTTAAACAAGTAATTAAATACTTTTCAACATGAATTAGCAGAGTGCAATTTTCTTTTGTTTACAATTTGGTTGCCAAACACACTACAGCTGATCGTTTGACACATTTACCAGAATTTACCAGCAAAAAATTCTCGGACTAAAACTGGTAACTTCCGTGTCTCACAGGGCTTCATAAACACCACCTCGTGCTATGACACATGCTGCCTGAGTACTTTTAAAACAGCTTCCGTAATTGGCGTGAATCCATATTTTGGTAATCGATGTGCTTAAGCCGCTGTTTGTTAAGGCCGTCCGACCTTCTCGGTACTGTTATATCAACTCCATAAGCGAAGCCACTGCAATTAGCCTATGGTTCGTCGTTATCTTCTCGTCTGTTCCCGTTTGTCGATAAAAAAAACAGCCGTTCTCTGGGTGGATGGTAGGACGCCTCTATCATAACTATGCTACTTAGTGAAATACCTTTTTCTCTTCGTAACACAAGTGATTTGCTGCAGCTAAATATTTCTGGCATTCTGAGGTGAGCTTAGCCATTTCATGATGCCTTCTTCATATGCGAGCTATTGAACCCACTATTCTTATCCAAAGAAAATTAATATCAAAAAAAAAGATCGCGAAAAAGACTTGCTAATTTTTCACTTGTATTTTGCTCGCCAATTCGCGCTTTCAAGTTCGTTTCCCATTTCACGCTTCCATGCTGTCTACTACAACCTATGTACGTTTAACTCTAGTGCTTACCGCCTCTCGGCGTGTTATCACTCTCGTATGTATCATTGCTTGATTTCTCGCTGCTTGCATAGTTATTTGATTTTATTTTTATTTATTTACCGCAACTCAGCTGTTCTTTTGTTATTTATGTGGCTTTGTATCAAATATTCGAAGCCACTTCTACGAGCAGCCAACCACAAATCGACAACAGAAACCTTTTGCGCAGCACAGCGTCTCAAGCGCTCAAGTCAATGGTGAAATTTCAGTTTAGCTGTGCACAATGGCAAAAGCGCTGCTGCGTATTTATATTTATTTTTAAAATTATCAGCTGTGCAGTTTTTTAATTATTATATTTTTTTTTTAATATCTTTTAATAGTTTTTTCTTTTTTCCACCACTTCAGGTGCATATTTATGCAATACTAGATAAGGGTGCGGGCGCGCGCGAAATAAGCGCAATCAAACAGGGAAATTTGCATCTAAAATTGCAATTGTAAGACTGGAGTGGTTGTGGAATGGAACTGCGTGGAATATTAATTTCTTATATAAGCATGAGCATTATTAAAAAAAAGTGATGGAAAAAATGTGGTTTTCTGTGTCGTTGGATGAGGTAGGTTGAGAAACGAACTTCTATGAAAATTATTTAAAAAATGCTAAAAATGCGGTTGTGTATAAAAAAATTTAACAATCATATAAAATGATTTAATTTGTTAGAAAATTGCTTCGGAAAACAAAATAATCAGCTGTTCCTAAAACTTGTAACTTCTGGCTGGTTTAGCGCTTTTATACTTTCTTGCATGTTTCTTAGTTTTTGGCAAGTTACTGGTTAGTTTTCTATGTTGGAGATTTCGAAAACACAATTTTTTTTCGGAAATTTGGTTAGTGGTAAGTTACTGGAGATTTTATTACTGCAAAGTACGAAAACATAGGTATTGTCTGCCGAGAGGCGACTACCAAACAATGCTGGCATCTAACCTGGTTCAGATGTTGAGGGTTGCCACCTGTTTAAAAAATAATTTTCAATTTGGATTAAGGTAATTGAAATACGTATCGCCCAATGGGTGCCAGACGAATCAGGTCTAAGGAGATAGTAGTTGAAAATATTTTGCAGAGGGTTACCACCTGTTTTAAGAGTCGAATATACACACGGTATATGAAATTTAAAAATATGGAGTCATATGAAATTTTTAGTTTGAACATATAAGTGTTTGAATAGGGTTGCCTCCTGTCGAAAAAGTTAGATTGAAATTATTTAATAAGGTAAATGAATTTATAAAAGTTGTTAATCAATCGAAATGCGTTTGAAAGGGATTTATTTGGTCGGTGTTATGCAGAAATTTTGTTTGGTCAAGCTGCAGCAAATTCGGCGTTGTCATATAAAAAACTTTTAGACAATTGTTGCTATACACAAAATTCTCATTTCGTGTTGGCAATAGCCATGAAAACCATAATGAACGTGCAACCCTGTGAAAAACTCGACATAACCACCTCCGAGCAAACTAAGCAGCCGCCATTTAATTTGCCAAACAAAAATATGTCTGCATAACACCGACCTTTCTGAATTGTGTTTTGGAGAGTCGACACGTGTTTAAAAAAATCTATTTCAACTTAATTCATCAGTTAATTGTAATATAATTCACAATGCCAAACAAAAGATTTAAAAAGATTTAAGTTTGAAAATACTTTTAAAGAGGGTTGCCATCTGTTTAAAAAGTCTAATTTATGTTACTTATACACAAGTTAAATGAAATGCTAAAATTTTAGTACCAAGCGTTAGAGTTTTAAGGAAACTTTAGTTTAAAAATAATTTTGATTGGGGTTGCCATCTACTCGGGGTGTAATATATCAACAGCATTTTTTGTGAAGGTCGCCGTTACTTCGAAATTCAAAAATGAGATGTCAAATTAAAGTACTGGGCCGGTAAATGTGTAATAAGGTTTTTTATTTTAGAAGTTAAGACATTTTATAGCGGTGCGGATGATCTGAAATTTGATTAATTGAAGTACCGAGAGCTCTTTTCACTCAGACGAATTTAGATGAAACATTTGGAATATTTTTTTAGGTTGCCTGTTTATAATATTAAATTCAGTTGGACCTTTTAACGACTTGCGGGTTCACTAGTATATACATATTTATGTACGTATGTTTTTACCGTGCTGGTTAATCTTCAAAATATCAGCTAAATGGAGTTATTAGTACTAGTTTTACGTTTAACCAGTAAATGTAAATCCATTAAAATTTCATTGCACTCGTACAAGGCTATAAAGGTACAAAAAAAAACAACATTTAAAATTTATATTATATTAAAACATTGCGTTAAGCACCCTAAATTTTTACATATTTCCATACACAGTTTAATTAATTTCTTTTATACATTTGTTCTCTCCTCTACAGAACGACACCTCCAATACGAATGTACCGATTAGCAATGATTTCAAATCGATTGATTGCTGCATTCCTGTCGCCAAATATGAGCTACCCGACTACTCCACAGATCATTCGTTTCTACTGATGGACGCCGAGGAGAATTTACGTATACCCACACCAGAGTTATTTCGCAAGAAACTTAAATGCAACGATGACACAAAGATCAAAGTAATTTCCATATTCGGCAATACAGGCGATGGCAAATCGCATACAATGAATAATACTTTCTTCGACGGCGCCGAGGTGTTCATGACATCGGCAGAGCAGAATTCTTGCACGATAGGTGTCTATGCGGCACTGCAACGCGACATGGATGTGCTGTGTCTGGACACCGAGGGACTGTTGGGCTCATCCAAACACCATAATCGACGCATACGCATGCTGTTGAAGGTTAACTGCATATTTTGTTATAAAGATCTTACTTGTTTTAATAATATTTTTTATTTCATTTCAACATAGATTCTGGCCGTTTCCGACATTGTTATATATCGCACACGTTCCGAACGTCTACACAGCGATATGTTTGAGTTTTTGGGATCTGCTTCGGAGGCGTTTTGCTTGCATTTCGCACAAGCACTGCAGTCGTTGCCAGTGCCAGGCACAGCGCAAACGCTTGGACCCGCGGTCATTATCTTCCATGAGACACAGCACACAAACCCGCTTGATGGTTGTAAGTACATGCCTTTATACATACATACATGTACAAAAAGGAAGGAAATAATAGCCAAGAAAATATTAAGCCATTAAGACGCTTTAATATTTTTTATTGACTATTTCTTTATCATTCCCTTTTGTGTTATTATTTTGTACATTTATTTATTTATGTATTTTTTGTTTTGTTTTTGCTTTGCAGCTGTTGCCGAAAGCGCCGAAGATCAACTGCGCAAATGTTTCGAACGTCACAATCAGAAAATCAACGCTTTCAGTTCAGTGCGCTATATAGGCATACAAACGCCAAAGCATGTGGCCACCGATTATAGTAAACTTAAGTCTGCTATAAAATTGGAAATCGCTAATACCACCGTACGTTCGCCACGTCAACCCAGTGTTGTGTTCAAAGCAATGAATGCGCTCAATACCAAATTCTCCGGTGAAATAGTGGAGAAATCAATAAATCCTTTTCCCGAACAATTTTTCACATGTCCGGTGCGTTGTGAAGCGTGCAACCAGCGCTGTCAGCGTTCGATGGGTCATTTGAGCGATGGTGAGGCGCATATGAATCAACAGCCTTGCAACTATCAGAATCAGTATGACAATAAGAAGTACCTGTGCAAAATATGCTACAAAAATGGCAAGGAGGTGAGTTGAAAAGAATTGGTTTTTTCATAAAAAATTACATAGTATCCAATTTGCAAAGAGTATCCGAGAGCTTATCACACATAACTGGATAAATGATTGTCCTAGGCGAAATTTTCACAATATTTAGATATAGATGCAGTTATATATTTAAAAATAAGACCTTTCTCCTTTTGTTTCTGAGATACAATTTTATAGGTAATTTGGTACAAAGTGAGTTAATAATGCAGTTATACTGAAGTACTCAAGATATTTCCAAAGGCGTTATACATTTTTGGTTTCTCCTTTATCACCGAGATATTTAGTATAAAGTATAGTTATAGTTAATAAAAAAATTTACTGAGGAAAAACCTTCGTAAACTCGAAAATAATTAAAAATAAACAAAACATAGAATAATTTAAGAACTTCGTGAATTAGTAACATTCTCCGAGACTGAGAAATTGCATTCCAAATTTCAATCACTATTACCCGAAACCTGCCGAAAGTAACATACTACAATCTTTTGTCCATGCGACCATTTTCCTTCGTCCGATACTTTCAGCTCGAGGCACACGATTTTCTTTGATCGGGTGAATTTAAAAATATATATTTTTTTTTTCACAGAACGTCGTCACATTTAGCACACAAACAAAGAACGACAGCTCATGGTCAGGATTGGCTAAGTATGCATGGAAAGGTGGCGTCATCGATTGTCCAAGCTGTGGCGAAATATACAGATCACGTCAATATTGGTTTGGTAATAAGTCACCGGAGGAGACATCTGTTAGGTAAAGCGAAATTTAAAAGCATAATGCTAAACTGTAGCAAAAAGATGAATTAAATGCCTATAAAAGGCATACATAATTAAAAAAATATACATATCGCTTATTTACTTCAATAGTGCCATAACTCAAAAAAACAGAACTCGAGAAAACTGCTTTAAAGTTTTGAATTTACATATACTCCCATAGTAAAAATGAATACATATTTTGGTTTAGTGGGGTACTGTTAATCGATACAGCAATGAAATTTTTACACAACATAGAAGAAAAAATAGCGGTAATTTCTGCGTACTTAACTCAATATTAATAGTCTTTGGATTATGACACTATTGAAGTAAATGATCTATATGTAAGTATAATAAGTATAACATCAAATTGGCTTCTCATTTTGGTATTTATTTCCAATGATAAAAATGAAAATTGTATTTATGTACAATATGTCCAATTTCCTCACACATACAGATCAATAATTGTACACGTTTGGGAGCCAAAGGGTCCATCACACTCCGCACAAATGGTACTCGATAGGGTATCAACACTCGGCGAAGCACTACCCAAACTCCATCCCAATGCAGTGACCGGTTGGCTAGCTGACTGGGTGGCGCCCGGCTATTGGAAGCCAAATAGTGAAATTATTGTAAATAAAAAAAAAAACTTAAGAAAAAAACTACAAACTAAATACATTCCCATATTTCGTTTTACAGAGCTGCCATGCATGCCAGAAGGTATTCGAAAATACTGGTTTACACAAGCATCACTGCCGCAGCTGTGGCGAAGGTTTTTGCCATGCATGTAGCCAAAAACAAATGCCAGTGCCAGCGCGCGGCTGGTCAGAGCCTGTGCGAGTGTGTAATTCATGTTATACGCTATTGCAGAATAAACCGAATGCGGTGCCGGGTAAGAAATGCTGCGAAAATAATAAAATATTAGTAGAGATAATAGAACGCATTTAAAGAAAGAAAAAAATTTATAAAAATAAGAAATTCCCAGAGTATAAAAATTTTGGAATGTGAATTTTGTAATCTGTGCACCTATCAAATTCTTCCAAATTTCATTTCTGCACTTAGCACTTTTTACTTCTGCTTTTACTTTTTTTTATTTCTACACTATTTTGTTCACATTTATGCACCTCAAAAAAATATTACTATTGTCCTTCAAAAGAAAAACTATATATACGTTTATATAAATTTCTTATTGTACAGCAAATACAACCGAAGCATTTAATCATACCAATTCCAATTCAAATTCAAATCCAAATAATAATATCACAGGCCCACCAACGACTGAACAAGCTGACATAAGTGTGCGAAAAATAGGTGAGGTAATCATCAATCCATTGGGCAGCATAACAAAGGGAGCTTATGAGTTTACCAAAGGTATATATAAGAAATTTTGTGTGTATATACATCCCCCACTGAACACCAATAAATTTACATATGTATGTACATCTCTCTCCTTTACCAGGCATCATTAAGGATACCGCCCGCCCCTCATACTGGGTGCCCGATGCCAAAGCGCCAACTTGTTACATCTGTGAGACACTCTTTGGCACTGCTGAAGAGTTGGCTATAGCAAAAGCTAATAGTGTAATTTCCAGTAGCAGTGGCAACAGCACCACTACTAGCAGTCCTGCACCAAAAACAACAAAAGAAAATATTGTCAATGGCAATGTCGCCGCGGGTAGTAGCGCTGGTAATATAACGAATGGCGGTTTTAATATTCCCTCACCCATTGGCGACTGTCTACGCCATCATTGTCGACGCTGCGGTCAAGCAGTGTGTGAGCACTGTTCGCAACAACGCCAGCCGGTGCCCGAGCATGGCTGGGATGTGCCAGTGCGTGTCTGTGATAAGTGTGCCGATCTGAAGCAGTGCGATCCGACCATTGGTCAGGCAGCCAGCGGCAGCAGTAATAATGTTGCAAAATAATTAATGCGTATGCAGCAAGATTTAATGCGTCCCCGACTTGAGGCGGTTGCATTTAAGATGTATGCGTGAAAAAGAGGAGCACGATTTTTCTATGCGCTGTGTGTTTTGCATTTTATTTTTATTTTTGGCCATTTGGTACATTGGACTGCATTAGAAAGTGGTATAAGAATAACTAAAAAATAATAATCCCATATAAAAACATATTTTCCCATTTCTACATTTTTCAATTGATATTCACCTATACATTTTATTTTAGGACTACGCATGTGAACTACGAATGTTAAATATGAAGCGTATAAGAAATTTCACTTAGTGCAAGTTTAAAAAGTTATCATTTTCAATAAACGTTCTACCATATGGATTAATCGCTTTAAGAACGCTGGTTTGGCTGCTCCACCAAATAACTCATAGCAATATATTTTCGGTTTACTTGGGACAGTAAAGTTACTATGTTCCCTTACAACTGTTTTTCTTCAAGGGCACTTGCATTTTAATTATTTTTCTTTTTCGACGACTTCAAAAAACGGAGAAGGTTATCAATTCGTCGGAATACTTTTTTTTTATGTATGTTACCGCATAACTGGACCACGTCAACCGATTTCGATAATTCTTTTTATATCGGAAGTGTGGTGCCTCAAGGGTGGTCCCATACTAATTTGGATTAGATCCGATCATTGGATTATGAAGAAGTTAACGGTACTCCTAAATTTTTATATGAGAATTGAACTCGGTTGTTTGTTTACTTAAAAATTACTTGTTAGTTTGCTGTGCTCAGTGAGGCTTTTGGAAATTTTCAAGTTTAATGTAACTAATTACAGCACCATTGAATATTTATTTAAATGTTTATACGCTTCATTGTACACATAAGTATGTAGTCAATTAGATTTTTTTGTTTAACTCACAAAGGCTACAAAATTGTAACGAATGATTGTGATACTTGCTTGAGAGTTTATGTGTATAGTATATGAATGTTCAAAACGCATTTTGTGATGCTTATTTTTCCCACAAATATATAATATACATATTTACTTCTATATTTAGTACCCATATAATATATGTATAAGCTGCATGCTAAAGCAGAATGTTTGCTAAGCAGCATCTTTATATGAATACTATGTACGTATGTATGTGTATACAAAAATTATTAAAGGAAATTATAAATATATGCATGTATGTTTATACGATACTTTTATTACTACGATGTTATGTTAATTTAGTTAAAAACAAAAAAAAAACTTAAAAGCAAATATCTTACATTTAATGCAAAAGGAAATGAAAAGTTGTCATGTAGTTTAATAAATTTATTTGCTCGAAAATACGCTCTAATACTTGTTTAAATATTTATTTGCATCAAACTCAATGGGTGATATTTTAAATGGTACGTCAGTGAAGTATAGACGTTCTTTTGTGCATGCAGTTACAGTTGCACGGCTATACTCAATGCCGACACTTGCATCCTCGTTCGCGCACTGTGGACAACGTAAGCAACCCATGTGCGAGATACCGTAACCAATCCGTGTGGAGCCTTGGGCCACGGCAGAAAGAGAGGGAGGTGCGGTGTGGCCACTCGGAACTATTCAGTTTGAGGGATCAAAGAAGTCAGCAGCATCTGTTAAAAAGTAGGGCGGATTTGTGGTTGCGGTAAACGAATGATCCGCATCAAAGCTAAATCCAACAAGCTAAGCCTCATTTATGCGCACGCCCCGATGGACGAGGACTAAAGAGCAGTTCTGCAAACGCTTATAGGGAGCATATGAGCGCTGCCTCCTTCACAATGTGATTGTATACTTTATCGCTATGTGGTAAAGAAGGCAATATTGGTCCAACAGTCTCAAAATTCAGCCTTTATCGGGTAACCTCTGGTCAAAGAACGAAGGACCAAGTCGATCATGTTGTTATAGACGGAAGATACGCTTCAAGCGTTCTTGACATCGACTCGGTTTACTATCTTGTTCCGGCCAAAGTGCGCGTGCCCCTCTCTGCAATGAAGAACGTGCATCAGGCAGTGCGAGTGTAATTAAAAATAAAAAACTTTGTACGCCCAAGTTTGATAGGCATTTTCTATTATTACAGTATACGGCGAAATCAACTTAAGTAAAAGTATAGACGTAGTCCGCCTTTTGCTCTTATTTAAACGGTATATAACTTTTTT